ATGGCACAGCAGAACTCTCCTGTCTCGCCCACTGCTCCCCTCAGCAGTGTATTTCAGTCAATCTGCCTGTTCTGCTCCCCACTCTGTCTCTGGTAAATCCTCTCACCCCCTGCACCTCTGGCTTGCACCCCAGCTCTTGTATGCATAAATAAATAAATCTAAAAAAAAAAAAAAGAAAGGCAAATACTGCATGATCTGACTCACATGTGAAATGTAAAGTAGTAGAACTCATAGAGGTAGAAGGTAGAAGGACAGTTTCTAACAGCTGATGTTGGTCAAGTGATATAAAGTTTCAGTTAATGCAAGAGGATTAATTTCTGGAAATCCAATATACAGCCAGGTGACTATAGCTAACAATGGTGCCTTGTATATTTGAAACATTCTAAGAGAATAGATCTCAAGTGTTCTCACCACAATAAAAAGGAAAAAAAAAAGAAAATGGTTAAGTATGTGGAGGTGATGGATATGCTTTTTAGCTTGATGGTAGCAATTATTCCAGTGTGTGCCTTTTCAATTCATCAACTTAGACACCTAAATATGTACAAATTTCATTTTATACCTCAATAAAGTTGGAAGAGTAACAATCTAATATTATACTAGTTTGAATATATTAAAGGTTATGACAACAGATTTTTTTAAGCAAATGTACACAGAATTTTCATGTATTCAAATAAGTGTTTTTTCTTTAAAATTGGTGGTTTTAAGGAGTTATCACAATGAAAATGTCTAAGTTATAGGTCTATGCACAGAGTTGAAGAAAATAGTGTATAGACTTGTCTCTAAAACTCCCCAACAAACAACCCCTCCCTCCTAAAAGGCAGAGGACAGGCCACTTCATTCAAATATTGGGGGAAGGGTACTGAGAAGAGACAAACAATGAGGTTCCCTCTCTTCTTGTGAGGGAATCACTGTGAGCCCATGGCTTTTGCCAGGAACAGTTGGTGTGTAATTTGATGAGACACCATATCTGTTGTAGGGGAGGCAAAGTTCCCCTTTGAGACTCTACCTGCTACTCCTTGAAGTTCCAAAGCAAGTTAATGAGTATTGATCAGTCTCCTCTAGGCCAGGCTATTTACTGCCCCCGGCCAGGGTCCTTTGAGAAGATGTTCCACTTATATTGTGTCTGGCATCTGGAGAGCCTTTAGCTTCAAGAGCCTCCAGGACAGACAATGTCTGCTCCTTCTCCTCTTCTCCCCCTCAGAGCCCTATATGGGACACACAGGATCAGACCCATAAAAATAGCAAGTGCACCAGGCAGAACAATGCCCTACTCTGGCCTCAGGTTGACCTTTTGTTAATGACTCTTGATTTTTAAAATACTGATCAAACCAAAGTGTGTGCCAGGGGAATATTGTAAACATTTTTGTCTAAATCAATGAGGTGGTAGGAAAAAACAATGTTCATTTTTCAATCTCTTAAATATATCTGCTATAGTCCTGAATCAAAATGTTTTCCTTATATCATTTCCACTGCGGAGAAGATAACAAAGCAATTTGCAGCCTAGTAGAGGAAGTAGTTTTGACCTTGCCACAAACTTTCTTGTCCATCAAGAGAGGGTAAAGTCAGGTCTCATGTCTTGCCCATGGAGTTGCTATAGGAAAGGATATTATGGAGTTCCTGCTTATGGTCCATCTCAGAGGCTGAAATACTGACTTTCAGCTACACCTGGTGATATCTGACCTGCACTCTTCTGGCCTCTTCGGAGATTCCTTAATGACTTTTACTTCTGGGTCATTCCTTTCTCTTTGAGAGACACATTTTGAAAGACTCCCACGAAATACCCATTGTTTTTGTTGTAGAGGTGATTGTGAGGATATTGTTCCTTACCTCACACCAGGGCTCCTGGGAATTGTAGGAAAGGAAGTTCCAGGAAAATTCTGCTTCACCCGAATGACTGGTCTATTTTTAACAATGGTGTGGTTCTTGTTATTGATGGCATTGCCTACTTTGTTTTGGCTGCTGAGAAGTCCAGAATGTACCTCCCCACTAGCAAAGACACAGAGCCCCATGATTTGCATTGTGTGTGCCCAAGTCATCCCTGACGCCATCTTATTTTCCTACACCAGACCTTTCCTTCATGATGGCATTGCCTTTTTTACCCTCTACTCTCTAGAAGCCACTTTAAATTCTCTGTGCAAAAGAAATAAGATATAAACAAGTGAAAAAGCAAGTAAGTCAGCATCTTCCATGTTGAGGTGTTGAAAGTGTTTTTAATGACCACGGATATGTTTAACTTCTGATGGATTTATTCCCATTACTGGCCTTCTTCCAAACAATATGGCAAAAAGAGCTTCTACTGAGTTCTGCAAGAGCAATCTGGGAGTGTCTTCCAAGACAAAACAGACTCCTTGAAAGTTCTAGGGAGAACAGGCAGACAGCAGCAAAGCACAGCTAAGTGGAAGAACCCAGATGTCTGCAGCACCATGTGTGAAGGGCAGAGTAGGAGCTGGCCACGCTCATCGGTACCTGCTCTCCTCCTTCTGGTCATAATGAATGATACACCTTCTGCCCCTGGACCTCAACTTTCTCCACAGAAAAATAAGGAGAGTTCCCTGTCAGTTAGGTCTGGTTAGGAGGACAGAAAAGCAGGAAGGGCACTGAAGAGTCTCAGAGAGGGCAGGCTTTAGGACAGGAACTCTTGGGAGGATGACAGAAGGATGCCTGGGCAGCATGGAAGAGAAGCTCCCTCTCCACTTCACGATTTTGTCTGTGACTGGCTCTGTAAGGCACATCAGCTCCTGACTCTGAAGTGCCAGAACTTTGGCTGAAGAGAGTAAACCAGAGAATCTTATTTGTTTGTTTGTTTGTTTGTTTGTTTGTTTGTTTTAAGATTTTGTTCTTATTTTTTTATGCATACAAGAACTGGGGTGTAGGCCAGAGGTTTGGGGGATTCACCAGAGACATAGTGGGCAGCAGAACAGGCAGACTGCTTGAAGCACACTGCTGAGGGGAGCAGAAGGCGAGGCTAGAGAGGTCCACTGCGCCATGTGGGTTAGCTCCCTGGCTAGGGATTGAACTCATATTACAGTGATGATAGCGCTGAGACTTAACCCCTAGGCCACCAGGGAGGACTAGGCTTGTGTGAAAAAGAGGGAAATTATCATTTTTAATGATCAAGCAATATTTATCACTTTCATATATACTTCCCGTTTTCCCTATTGCTCTACCTCTAGTATCATTTTTTAAACTAGACATATCTTTTTAAAATGTTTTATTGTGGGAACATCTACATAACATTTACCATTTTAACCATTTTAAAGTGTACAGCTCAGTGGCATTAAGTATGTTCCCACTGTTTGCAACCAATACCCCCATCCATTGGCAGAGCTTATTTTATCTTCCCCACATTGCATAAACACATTAAACAGTAGTTCCCCAAGCCTCTCTGTTCCTGGTAACCATCATTCTACTTTCTATCTCTATGAATTGACTAAGTACCTCATATCAGTGGAATCATAAAATTTGAAATTTTATATCTGGTTTATTTCACCTAACATAATGTCTCCAAGGTTCATTCAGATCATTATGTTTTTATTTTGTGTACCTACTTGTCCACAAATAGGCATTTGGGTTGCTTCCATCTTTCAGTGATTTTGAATAATGCTACTATGAATGTGAGTGTACAGATATCTGTTCAAGTTTTTGCTTTCAATTCTTTGGGGTACATACCTTAAAGTGGAGTTGCTGGGCCACAGACATATCTCTTTTCAAAATGTCCTTATTATGAAAGAGTTCTAACATCCCCACAAGCGGAGAGAGAGCGCCATGGACCTATCCCTTAGCTTCAATGCCAAGCTTGTGGCATTGATACTCTCTACTTCTTTCACCACTGGGTACTTTAACGCAGACCCAGGGCCTCCCTGGTGGTGCAGGCGATTGAGTGCGGCACTGTGAAGCTGTCTGCAGCCTCTGCAGTGCAGGTTCGATCCAGGCCGGCCAACGAGAATCCCACATGGTAAAGCAGATCTCTCCTGTCTCGCCCACTGCTCCCCTTAGTAGTTTATTTCGTCAGTCTGCCTGTTCTGTTCCCTGCTCTGTCTCCAGTGAATCCTCTCACCCTCCTGCGCATCTGGCCTGTACCCCGGTTCTTGTATAAAAATAAAGAAATCTTAAAAAAAAAAGCATCCCCAGACACCAGATTATTATATTCATAAGTATTTCAGAGTCAACTAGCAGAAATGACCTAGATGTTTCATAGAGAGTAATATACATTGTGAGTGCCCAATTACTAAACACTGAGATGGGTAGGTGCTGCAGGAGGCCTTGATGCCCCAGCCAGATAAGACACTGGAAGGTAAAGGGCCTCACACCGTGGGGCCGAAGGTAAAGGGCCTCACACCGTGGGGCTGAAGATTCCTTGTGCCTCACACCGTGGGGCTGAAGATCTAACATTCCTTCATTTTTTGTTCTTGGTCATGGAAAGAGAAAAATTTATCAGAATAGTACATTAGGCAATAAATTATATGTATCAGTAGACTGCAAGCAATTGGCATGGAAAATTACCTGTTTAGATATTAGTTACTATACAATTCGGCCCAATTAACAATGGGAGACAATTTATTGTATATATCTGACAAGCAATCCAGCATAACAATTATAGTCAATCCTTCTTTTGTTTTTTCAGAAGTTTCCTTTTTATTTAGAAATTTCTTAGGAAAGTTTTTAAATGAAGTTAACTGTGTTAAGAAGTTTGCAGGTAGAAAAAATTCTGATAGCTGAGTAGCAGCTGGTCTCTGAAGGCCATGTGAATAAAATAGTCCTTTGATGCTTAGGCTTTAGCTGATAGGGATGCACTGGCGGCTATCCACTGTCTTAGATAATTGTCTAGCTGAAAAAATAAGTTTTAGTGTTAGGTCTGGTTTATTATCTATTAACCTTGAAAGCTGCTGTCTAGCTGAGACCTGTAGGAGCCAGTAGTCTATGGGAAACATAATACACTAATTGTTTATGCTTTACACATGAGAATGTATTTTCTTATTATTATTACTAATAATGAATAAATAAAGACCTGCTGAGTCTCTCGACAGGAGATACTTGCACCTCACCAAGTGTCAGTGTCTCCTCATTCTACCTCATCCCCTTCCCCTCAGCCCTTAAGTTTCAGTTCTTTCGTTTTCGCCTAGGCCGTCTCATCCTTTCAGGAACCCCTGACACGACGTTTTGCCGGAGGCTGTCCCCGGCAAGTGGCACCAGAACAGGGACTTGAACCCTGGACCCTCAGATTAAAAGTCTGATGCTCTACTGACTGAGCTATCCGGGCCCACACAAGTCCGTACGGTGGAAGCATTAACAGAATGTCCAGGTTGGCGAAAAAGTACAGGTGAATTGGCGGCAAGGAGGTGAAACAAGTCCGGGTATGTACGGAAACCATTTGAAGTGTTGACAGTGTAGGCAGGAGTAATTTATTTAGCTGAATACCACCGGGTGACAGGTTTTAGAGGTGGAATGAGGTGACTCGACCGGTTGTAGATGAGAGTGTTCTGCAGGAGAAACCTATAGTTTTTGGGGACATTAGTGGCAGATGTACCTGTTTCAAGTACTGAAAAATCATAAACAGAAAGATTAGTTTGGTAAGGTTGGTAGTGAAGTCCTGCAGAGGGAAACGTACAAGTATGTCAAGTGGGAAATTTATCATTTATGTCAATAGTATTTTGGGAGTTATTTGAGTTGTAAATTGAACAGGCTGGGAGAGTGGAGGACACTGAAACTCGAGCTATGTTTTTATTAGTGCTGTGAGGACCAAGGAGAGATAAAAGCAGTACCCATAAATCATGGTTAGGTCCGGAGGAGGAAGGCTTTTGGAGATTTTGTTTAAAAATACTTGTCATTAATAGGTAGGCAGTCAGGTAGTTGAGACTTTATATAGTCAAGATTAGATGTAAAACACATAGGAGGAGAATCCATGTGTCCCTGAAAAGAAAAGTTATTAGTGTTTATAAACAAAACAAAAGAGTCTGAATCACCACCTAGTAAATTAGAATAATTAGTGAACACACGGGGCGAGGGAAATTCCCAAGGAGTAGGATGGAGAAAGAGGGGATCTAGGATGATGTGTGTATTTTGTTGTACAAGTAGTTGTTGAGCATTAGAGGTCAGGTTTTTGAGCAGATTTTAATTGTTATGATGAGACGTCTTACAAACCCGAAGGTGGTGCAGGGAAGATGATGATTTTCCAGCAGGGGATTTGGAGTAATGGCATTTTGGAGGAGGTGGATAGGGTCCCAGAGGGCTGCACCTATGCATTTTGGGGTGATGTGTCGGTGAAGGCTTTTGAAACATGGTGTTGGATTAGTCTGTTAGGAATTCAAATTGGACCATTTGAATTTTGTGGAAAGATATAAGCATAGTCTTTTTATTTGTTGATAAAACATTAGGGCCTTTTTATGTTTCGGAAAGGAGATTTTTTTACATAGCTTGAGGTTTAGAGTTTAGTTGGTCAGGATCCCAATGTTTATTAATTGGTGACATTTTCTTTACTGTAATGAACACAGTAAATGGAAGGGTACTCATCCCTAAAGGATGACAAAACCATATTTACAAATTTTTGACATTAAGTCGGACTGTTTTTTATGTCCTGAGGGAGAACTTTTTATTTATTTTATTGAAATAGTTTTTTTTAATTTACTGATGGGACACTAAATGTAAATTTTTTATAGTTTTGGGGATGTAAAGGGATGGTAAAAAAGGAATTTTGTAAATTAATAACAATAATATGTTTATTTTTAGGGATGGCCATGGGTGATGGCAAGTCTGGTTGTAAGTATTCTATATTTTGTATAGTAACATTTATTGTTTTTAAATTTTGTAACAGTTTTTATTTTTTTTGATTTTTTTTTAACAATAAAAATTGGGGTATTTTATGGTTTTGAAATTAATTGATTTGTATTAATTCATTTTGTATTAGGTTTGTTACAATTTGTTTTTTTTTTTTTTTTTTTTTGTAAGAGGCCACTGTTCAACCCACACTGGTTTATTATTTTTTTAGGTGACTGGGTCGGCTGTAACTTGAGCAATGGCCCCTGGGTTAAATTTTGACTGTACCCCAAACCGGCCTTAGAGTTTTTGGGAACTGGTTTAATTGGAGTTGTTTTTTCATAAAGATTTTTTTTTTTTTAACCCTTGGTGAGGGTGAAAGTCCATTTGTAACATTTGTGATGTAACTATATTATTAGGGCTGAAAATTAATGTTTTTATTTGTGATAACACAGTTTTTTCCCATAATGTCATAGAAAGGGCAGGAATAACATAAGGTTGAGAAGTCCTGGACACCTGTTTATTATTTTAATTTAAAATTTGAGAACTTTTTGTTACATTTTGTGTTGATCCCAGTTTAACCAAAGTAAAGGGCATGGCTTTTGTGGGCCAGGTGTTAGGCTAATTATGTCCTGCTATGTAAGTAATATTAGTACAGTGTTTAACAATTTTTTAATTTTTTTTTAAATAGACATTACTAAAACTTTTAATAAATTATGATAGTGGTTTTTTTTTTAGTAATCCAGAACACAAGGAGGTGTTTTGTGTGTTTGTTACCCCAAAATGTTACTTTTAACATTGTAGTTTTTTTTTTAATTGACTTAAATACAGTATAGTTTAGTTTTACTTGGTAAAGTTAATATGACAAAAAATTTACATATGTAAGTATATATATACACACACACACACACACATTTTTTTAGTCAAGAAAAGAAAAACACTTTAAAGATATATTTAAACAGTAAATTATTAATATTTAACATAACTTTAATGTATATATGTTTTGAATTATATTATAAAATTTGAACTAGTTTTTGTATATTAAAAATTTTGGATTATGATTTTAAAATTTGTTTTTATGAGAACTTATATAGGCACCGTTTATGATTAGTCCTCCGGAGGTAAAAAACAAAACAAAGCAAAAACACAAAAACAGACACAAACAGACACAGAGATTTTTTGATATATATTTAAAATTTTGGCCATGTATGTATATTTTGAGACATAGTTATTTTACCAATATGTGTGAAGATACTGAGGTTTAGAATTTAGCTCAAAAATGTTTGTATTACCACGTTATATTTTACCAGTTTAGTTAGTTTTAAAAAGAAACTTAATTTTTTACAGGTTTAATAAATAAATTTAAAAGTTTTTATTTAACCAATAAGTATTTTGTATAGCTTGTTAGCAAGTTAAAAGTAACTTAACAGTATTTGCCTAAGATAATTTAGACTTTAAAATTAGAGAAACACAGGGAAATAGAATTTTTTTTTTTTTTTTTTGGTAGAATGAACCATCTTCACTGAATATTAATCATTATTTGGAACTTTGTTTAAAGTGACAGCCCTTTAGGGCCTCCCTGGTGGTGCAAGGGGTTAAGCAGTTTATGAAGCTATCCACAGCCACTGCTGCATGAGTTCGATCCCTACCCAAGAACTACCCACATGGCACAGCAGACTTCTCCTGACTCGCCCGCTGCTCCCCTCAGCAGTGTACTTCAGTCAATTCACCTGTTCTGTTCCCCACTCTGTCTCTGTCCTCTCACCCCCCATACCCCTGACCTGTACCCCAGTTCTTGTATGCATAAAATAAATATTTTTAAAAAAGAAAGTGGCAGCCCTTTAATGAAATGTTTTATTATAAAACTTTTCAAACATACTACAAACTCAAGAAAATTGAATAAAGGACCTCCATGTGCCCATCCCCCAAATTCAATGGCTCTCAATAGCAGAATGGCATTCCTTTTTAAAATGTAAACTACAGGGCCTCCCCGGTGGCGCAGCGGTTGAGCGCTGGGTTGCGAAGCTGCGCGTGGCCTCTGCGGCGCCGGTTCGATCCCCGGCTGCTCCCCGGCCACCGGAGGAGGGTCCCACATGGCGCGCAGACCTCTCCTGCCGCCCGCTGCTCCCCTCAGCAGTGTACTTCGGTCCTTCTGCCTGCTCTGCTCCCCGCTCTGGCTCTGGTGAATTCTCTCGCCCTCCCGCGCTTCTGACTGTACCCAGTGCATGTATAAACAAAACAAACAAAGAAACCAGCAAACAAATAAATAAAAAGCATGCCTCTATAAAAAAAAAAAAAAAAAATAAAATAAAATAAAATGTAAACTACAGATTGCTTAACTGATATTCTGATATTTTATTCCTCTGGAAAAGAATACAGTGACTGAAATGGAGCTGATAGCAGGAAGAATCCTTTCAATTCTGGAAACTTTTATTATTAAGAACTAAAAGAAGATATTTTTGAATGATTTTAATCTTTGTTATAAATGCTCATAAATATCAGTCTGAGTTCTCAGCCACAAATACGATTCGTAAGTCTGGGTTAATTTCAGTTTCTCTAACTTAGCTGATTATTTACAGAAAGAACAAGCTGACATTTCAAGAAAAGCATGGCTAAGAAGTTATTTCTCCTTTTATCATAAGCACAGAAAATATGTGGCCAAGAATTGATGCTGTACAGATGTCTTTTTATTTAATGGGGAACTTGTATAATTTTAGAAACAGATGCACTTCCTGGGTATTTTTACAAATGCCTGCATCACTAGGCTTTTGCTGCATTAAAAAAAAATCATCTTCCAAATTTAGTAACTAAAAAAAATAACCGTCAAAATGGAAGGATTTTCCCTAGCAGATATCAAAACTTATATAACCTTGATTCAAAGGCACATTTTATGACCTTTGAAAATAGGCTGCATAGATTTAACAATCTATGACCTTGTGTAGTTACTCTTAACCAGACAGCAGTCAGGACATATTTGTTGACTTTACAAAACTGAATTTGGTCAAGGCTATTCACATTATTACCCCATCAGTTGAGAAGTGTGCATTGTTGACTGCATGTTTCCTTAAGCTATCTTCAAAAAGGTTACCCCATAGTTCAGCATGAAAATTAGAAAGTGTTGTGTATCCAGAAAGGTGTTGAACCAGATTAGTTGGGTAGAAAATTGATATTAGTGAAACAAATTTTCATTGTTGGAGAACTGACCTTGATTAGATAGACTTTCCTAGCACAAGAATGGGAGCATGAGACCTAAGAAAGGATTAAATGATACTGTATTACATTTTGTAACTAAGAAGCATGCAATAGATTTGCCCGTGACATATTGAGAAATTTCTCAAATGGGATTCAGAAGTTTGACAAGAAATCCTATAATCAATAGTTGAGTAATCCTTTACGAAATACTACTTCTTTGGGGCCTCCCTGGTGGCGCAGGGGTTAAGTCTCGGGTGCTATCAAGCTATTGCAGCCACTGTGGCCTGAGTTCCTTACCCAGCCAGGGAGCTAATCCACATGGCACAGCAGACCTCTCCTGTCTCATCCACTGCTCCCCTCAGCAGTGCATTTCAGTAGATCTGCCCGTTCTGCTCCCCACTCTGTCTCCGGTGGGTCTTTCACTCCCCGCACCTCTGGCCTACACCCCAGTTCTTGTATGCATAAATAAATAAAAATAAATCTTAAAAAAAAGGAATTCTACCTCTTCAATGTTCTTGATGACTGACAAAAAACAAAAACAAAATACTGTTGGCTCAGCAATAGCGTGGCTATAAATAAAGAAATCGGAAAAAGAATTACAGGTAACCTAAGGTAAGAAAATGAAAGGAAATAACAGAAATCATAAACAGAAAACAGCTGATTCAGATCCAGACAGCATGTCCATATTCCACTTAGCTGATTAGAGGAAGGAATAAAAAAAAGGAGCAAAGGGGGCCTCCCTGGTGGCGCAAGGGGTTAAGTTCCACACTATGAAGCAATCCACAGCCTCTGTAGCACGAGTTCAATCCCCGCCCAGCCAGGGAGCAACCCACATGGCGTAGCAGACCTCTCCTGACTCACAGGTTGCTCCCCTCAGCAGTGTACTTTGGTCAGTCTGCCTTTTCTGTTCCCCACTCTGTCTCTGGTGAATCCTCTCACGCCCCGCATCTCTTACCTGTACCCCAGCTCTTGTAAGCATAAATAAATACATCTTAAAAAAAAAAAAAAAGGAGACCTCCCCTGAATGCCGCCCTGTGAAGCTGTACTCAGCCTTTGCAGCACCGGTTTGATCCTGGCCAGCCGGCAAGGGTCCCACATGGGGCTGCAGACCTCTCCTGCCGCCCGCAGCTCCCCTCAGCAGTGTATTTCATCAGTCTGCCTGTTCTGCTCCCCGCTCTGTCTCTGGTGAATCCTCTCACCCTCCTGTGCATCTGGTCTGCACCCTGGTCCTTGTATAAACAAATAAATAAATCTTAAAAAAAAAAAAAAAAAGAGCAAAGGACAGTGCCAGCTATCTTTCTAGAGATTTTCTTTTTGTCTTTTTTTGTATAATTTATTTATATATATTGAACATCATTGTTCATTTTTGTACAATGTTTGCTTTCTTTTCTCAGGTGTAGTCCCCATTTTTTCTAGAGTTTTTCAAAAGTTGCCACACTACATTCTATTTCATGGCTCAGAAGGAGAATAGTTACATGGCTACTCCTAGGAAACCACCTCGTAGTTTTAAGGAACAAGAAGCTTCTTTATTCCAGGTGGTCACACAGTCAATGAATAATCAGATTTCATTATTGAGGCATAAGAGAAATATGAATTTGCACAACTGGCAGTTTTGCCATATCCCAGTTTTCAAAAATACTGACATGAAATTGTAGTATTCTTTTTATTTTTAAAATTGCATAAATAATAATCTTCGCTATTTTGATTCTAACATTTTGTATTTGCTTCTTGTTCTTTATTTTATTCCTATATGTTGCTACATAGTCTTTTCTTTGTTATTCCATTTCATTTTCTTACTTTAGGTTACCTGTTTTTCTTTTCCTGGCTTCTTTAACTGAAATTTATTTATTTTTAACATCTGTTTAACTTTAAAAAGTAATATTAAAATTGACTGTCTATTCTGTTTTCAAGACAGTAAACTTATACGGATTACTTTCATAGTCACTAAGTTCTAAAATTTGTTATTTCCATGAAATCCTCTTAAACTCATAAGTTACAGATAATTTTTAAAGTTTATAATAATATATGTGTGATTTTTTTAATTTCTAATTTAATTTCATCATAATTCGTGAAATGTCTAAGTTGAAATATCAATTATTGGAAATGTATTGTGATTTTCTTTGAAAGTAGTATATGGGCAATCTTATAAATCCCTCCTGTCTAAATCAAGCTTACTTGCTAATTTGATTGCTAACTCTTTGAAATTACAACCTTATTTTTTTAAATATCCCTCTATAAAAGTATTATTAAACTTTTCCACTAAGTTTGTAAATTTGTTCACGTCTTCTTGTAATTCTTTCAGTTTCATATTTTGTCATGAAATTAAGTATATTAGCCTTTTTACCTTTATTAATTCTTTTGTTTTTCAAATTTATCTGCCATAGAAGTTTTGTTTTGCCTAGTGTTTGAGTGTTATATCTTTTTCCATTCCTCTATTTTCAATTTTTCTATTTGGTTTGTTTTAGATGTAGCATTATACTGTGAAGACCCAATTAGATTATCTGTGCTTAGTGGGTAAATTTAATACATTTGAATTTATTATACTTTTCATTTTGACTTATTTCTGCTATTATACTGTGTAACTTATCTTTAGCATCTTTTTTTCTTTGTTAAACATTTCCTCTTTTCCTGACTGATGAATTAATAATTTGCTGCATTTTCCCTTTCCCTTCTACTGGTTTTATGCTATATTTGCATTGCTGTTAATATTAATGCCAGCCATTTATTCTATGAATGTCAAAAATTACTCACTGTCTCTATGTAACTCCAGGACTTGAAAAAGACCTCACCATTGTTTGCATATAAACTCTCTTCCCTACCTCCAATCCCTTCATATTATTGCCTCTTGAATTAAAACTTACCTTTTCTTTTAACAACAACAACAACAACAAAAGCCTGTTGGACTTTGCTTGTATAAAATATAGGGATGTGATATATGTGACAATGATAGCACAATGGGGAGAAATGAAATTGTATTTAAGCAAAATTTTATATTTTAGTAAAATTAGTCAGCATCAAGTTGAAGCAGATTGTTATAAGATAAAGATGAAAGTTATAATTCCTAAAATAACTACCAAAATTAAAAACTTCATGCTTCAAAGTATCATAACAAGAAAGTGAAAAGATAATCACTGAATGAGAGTATTTTCAAATTAAATATTTGATAAGAGGTTTATAGAGAGTATATAAGAACTTTTACATTTCAACAATAAAAAGATGTGTGATTTTAGAATTTTAATATTAGCAAAGGATATAAATAGAAATTTCTCCAAAGAAATACATGAAACACTAATAAACACATAAAAAGATATTCAACATCATTAGGGAAATCCAAATCAAAACCACAATGAGACACCACTTCAAATACATGAAGATGGTAAAATTTAAAATATAGATTATAACAAATGCTGGCAAGGATATGGAGAGATTGAAACCATCATATACTCCAGGAGGGAATGCTGAATTGTGCAGCTACTTTGTAAAAACAGTCTGGCAGTTCCTCAAATGGTTAAACATTGAGTTATATCACATAGCAATTCCACTCTAGCTACGGACCCAAAAGAAATAAAGATATGTGTGCTGAACAGCTTGTATACAAATGTTCACAACAGCATTATTCAAGTTATCCAATATATGCAAACAACACAAATATCCATTAACTGATGAATCCATAAATAAAATTTGGTGTATTCATGCAATGGAATATTATTCAGCAATAAAAAGGAATGATGTACTTATATGTGCTATAATGTGAATGACCATTACAAACTTTATGCTAGTGGAAGATGCCAACTACAAAGG